CTTTATGGAACCATAGATTATAGAACATATTGTGTACACAGATTATGCGTGCTTTAATATTAAGTCAAGCTTGCATATTAATGTAAATATATATTCTTATAATACTAAGTCATAATCGCACGTGCAAATTCCCTATCCGTGATTAAGTCGCCATATTTGAAAAACACAAAGAGAATTCCGTACAGACATGAGAAGTGTGATCGGCTTTAAACAATATCATATTACATCATACATTAAATGTCATTAAATTAATCATACACTCTTTGATATTACAATTTTTAATAATTAACAGACAGATAAATAAAAAAAAAGATTTTTTTTTAATATTTGAGTATGAAGGTTGTAAGGTGAATTTAGTTTTTTTTTTTAATTTTTCGAACGGTCTAACATTGAAGTTATTCAATCTTGACATTTAAAATGTATATAAATAAATAACAGTATTAAACGGTCTATTAAAACGGCTAGACCTTACAAAGACTAACATCTGCCTCTGAAAAATTAACTGCCAATTACACAATATTGCAGCTGCGTTTCTAAATGTCAACCCACTATAATTGAAGACCAAGGTTCTTTCATATAAATATTATTTTAATCATTTTTACTTATTACTCATCTTCTTAAAAACAAAATTAACGTACGAAAAGCTAAACAATATGTATATACATAATGTTTAGTCTTTAAAAAACGCCCACGCGTCAAAAGTTATTAAGCCACGCGCCGTTTACCGCTACTTTTTTTTATCGGCCATATGCCGCCAACGCGTGCCCTATGAGAAGCATCGGAGAGCATTCAGCCTTGCGTGAAACCTTTTTTTTTTATTATTTGTATAGTTTTTTTTTTTATAAAGAGATCAAAATATTAAAAACAATATAAACAGAATACTTGAGAAAAACAATTCTTTTTATAACGTTTATAATTTGAATTTAGAATTAAAATTTTTGAAAAAGGTTTCTATATTTTGAATTTAATTCTACATTCTTCTTGTGAATAAAAACATGAAATATTTCAATAATAAATTGCGTTACCGTATTTTTCACATGCACGTAAAGGTTAATCATCTGACAAGTCGTCACGTTTTACGTAATACGTTACTTTCACTGCACCATCGGAAGTCCCAATATCAAATAACTAACGTGGAATGGAACGCATGGGACAGATGTTATAGAACCTGTAAGTTACATTGAGAATGCGATAAACACTTTATACAGGTCGTACAGAATAATATATATTAAATAAATAATATTATATAATATTAATATATAATGAAAGAAATTTTCTATATTTATGCAAATAATACAACGATTACATGATCATTGGAAAGTTATTCAAACATTACGTGGAAGATGTTTCGCAAATGTTTGCTTATTATTAAATATATTGAATAATAATAAATAAACACCTGAGTCAATTGATACGCTTTAATGGGAATTATTACAAATGGCGTTTAATTGACGCAAATTGAATACATTAGTACAACCTGGTATGACTTAAATCATGAACTATTTATGAGAATTATGAGAGTGTTGCATAGTCATAATGTTTGTTTTAAACGAGTTCTAGTCTTCAATCATTATTTATAACTAGAAGACCTGGCGAACTTCGTATCGTCCTATAATCAAGAAATATCTATTACGTTTTTTTATTTATATTTTTGGAGTTTACCTGTAACCCGTAAATCTCCGTGTTTTGAAGTGCGACAGAATGATTGACATATTAGTTAATTGTCAAATCTAATATCAAAAAAAAACGTTTGTATGGGAAATAGAAAAGGGCTGTTTTTATGGTTTTCCCAGTAATGAATCAATTTTTTTCAGCTTTTATACCTTCCCTGAACCTCCACGAACATTTCAAGACTAAGATGAGATAAATCCGTTCAGCTGTTCTCGAGTTTTAGCGAGACTAAGGAACAGCAATCCATTTTTATATATATAGAAGATTATTTTCGATACTTATACATTTTTCACCCCCTGTATATAAACCCATAGCATCAATTTTAAGGGGCGCGAAAAGACCCTTCTTGAAAAAAGCTGAACTCTCACACCTGGTCGTTACCATAGAGATGAAATCACTACACGGATGTATCAATAATTGATAGTAACGGTTTTTAACAACTATTGTATGATTTTTTTTAACTAAGGCTTCATTCACACTGGAAATATTTTTTTAAGCTATGGCTTTAAACGCACTGGAATCGTAATATTTTTAACATGTCAATGTTTTTATTTTTTAGACTTATTATAATCTTTAGTATTGCGTGTAGAATAAAGGCCTTTTTTTAAGAAGACTAGTTATTTTCTCACCAGAATTTATGTACATATACAAATTTGTAAACGCTTTACACTAATCACAGATCATAAATCAATTTTAATGACATTTTTAATAATCTTTAAACAGATAATAAATTATTTACGTCTTTTAAGCTACAGTTTATATTTTTGAATTACAAGGAAATATTATATTAATATATTATTTTTTCTTATATATATTGATGAGTTTAAATGTGATTATTCTTATTATTTAATATTAAGGGCTCGTGCTGTACGGAGCGTGGCGTATGGCAGATGACACACGACCGTTACGCCAGCTGCTATTTGAATTCATTCCTTCATATTTTACTTAATACTTTATATACACCAAGTACAGGCTAGTTTTTATACTTGTTTATAAGTCAGGTGTAAATAGCAACGGAATTGTGATAAAAATACTAGTTTAAAATGTGCTCGAGTGTATACTACGTAATGAAGCTTGACAAATGTGCCATATTTTTTTTCATGCTTTCATTTCTAGTTTACTATTTATGAAGCTGCTCTGATTCTGATACAATAATATAAAAAACTAGATCTTTTTTTATATGAGCATCAATCTTAGTTACAGTATGTAGTTCGCGTTTTCTATTAAAATTGCTATCTATACAAAAAATACAATTGAAGTATCTATAGTTGTAAAATAACTGCTTTTTACTTAATACATATACGTATATATATACGTTGCATGTACCAATTTTCTTTGCTATTTTTGTCTGTCTCTGTTTGTATCGGCTAATTTTTGTAACAACTGGACCGCTTTTAAGAAAACTTTCACTGGCAAATAGCTTATGCACAGAGAATAGCTTAGATTACTTTGATTACTCATATAGCATTAAAAAATAGTAGCATATAATATAAATTTATTTTCTGTCTACTCGTAGAGCTATTGTTACCATTGAAGCATATCTAAATGTACCAGGGCGACAGAAGTGTAAGGAAGTCGAGGGCTTCACTATCAGAAGGTCAAAGACATTGTTAGTATTGATAAAATTCCTTGCACGTTTTTTAAATTCTTCTAAACGCTTATCTTCGTTTACAGAAATATATGTATATTTCATCTTTATTACATAAGATAAATGTTAGCACATTGAATAAACCAGTTGTGATGAAATTTTGATTTATAGTTGTTTAAGCTGAGGACATGCTAAGCTACTAGCATCAATTAATTGATTAGAATATTGCTTACAAATTTTTAATGTTTGAAACATATCGGTTATAAAAACTAACTTTTTCGTTGTCCCGCATCCCCTATATGTTAGTAAAAAGGTGACTTAATGTTAAAACGTTAACATACTGCTAAGACTGTATTCAAAATGGGAATTAGTAGATTAACTGGGTCAGTAAAACGGAACGGTTAGTGCATTAACACATTACCGTCGGCTAATTCATTAAAAGTATTACGAAATAATTAACGTCAACTCGCATTGGTACAGTTGTAAATTAAAAAAATATTAATCTTCGTCTAACTGGTCGTAAGAAAGAATTTTCTATTAAACTAGTTTTTGCTGGCGACTTTGTCAATATAAGCTTTGGGATGGGGAAATGTGCAAAATTGAATAAAAACAAAGGATATATATAGCCTATAACTAGACTTTACGCTGTGTAACTAATACGAATTCCGGGATAAATTATAGTCCATCATTTAGTCTGATGAATGACATTAAGTTTTATCAAAACCTGTGAAATATTTTTACGTGAAATAGCAACTAACATACATACATCCTTTCGAATTGTCGCAATTAAAATATTAGTAAAATTATTCCGTTTAAAACTTAGTATGAATGTTTTACCATTGCGAATATTCAAAAATATTTATTGCATATATGAAATTAAATATATTTTTAATCAATCAGCCTAACTGTTTTATATCATTGCACAAGCGTAGATCATTCAATGCCAAATAATAAAGTTTCTCGCTCGTTATTTCAATTAGCGAATATGAAATATGAATGTAAAAATCATTTAAAAAAACTTTGAAATTAAAGCGAAAATGTATATAAATAAAATGTACTTAATTTAAATATATTCTATATAGCTAACAATAGATACAATAATAACATGACATACATATATGATTAGCTACAAAACTAGCACATGTAATTTGCACTACAGTATTGAGTGAATCACAGATTGACTCAGACAAACCGCAATAACTACTGAGTTACACTAAAAACAAACTATTAGCATTTATATGAATATCAAACTTATTATAATAGACTTAAGTTTTAATTTTCAACGCCAATAACAACAATGAGTTCACACACAACTTGAGTGGTCAGAATCCCAAGTCGAAAATAAGGGGGAAAAATCAAAGAAGTGTTTGAATGCCCCTTCACCAACAATAGAATCAGCAACGGTTTCGAACATCTGCCTGCAACGTGTGATGTTCGAGATTTATGAATTGTAATGCAATTTGTCGTTTTAAACGCTTAACTTCCTATATAAAGGTTTTTTTTCAGTACGTACAAAAATATTATATACTCGTATGTTAGACACGAATCAGTTCAATTACTAGATTATAAAGGATTCATAAAAATCTAATAATAACCAATAAAGGTCGACACGCATCAAGCGTTTCCCTCTCAAATTCCACGATAATGGACCAAGAAATTACGTCATCATTATAGCCGATCGTTATACCAAACACCTTCATTTTTTCCCACGAGTCATTTACCTTATTGTTTTTGTTGCAGGATGTCGAATTTTCAACGTACAAGAAGCAAGGTCTGGTGGGGTGACTCACCGCCAAATATCGGCAGCCCAGTGGCACAACCCGAGTGGAACCAAAACAATCAGAGAGTGGAGCCAGAGTGGGAGCCCCAGCTTCCTCATTGGATCAATCAACCCGAACAAAGAAACAATAGCGCGGATAACTTGGCACAAGCCAATTTGCCGAATCAATGGCCTCTTCGTCACGGCAGTCCAGGCAGTCACAAGAGCCAGGATTCTGGCTTTTCAGATTCTGATAGCTCTCCACCAATATCCCAATACTATTCGCCATCAGATGAAAGTGAAAAAAATAAATCAAATAACAGCAGCGATTCAAATAATAATGAAAATGTTACTATCAAACAGGCAGCTGATTATCAAAACTCACAGCACAATAGTAAAGATGAAGTTGATTATTCCAACGTTAACATTAATACTCCGACACCAAAACCTCGTCTCCGAAGCAGCAGCGTCATACAGACTCCATATGACCTTCAAGAGTATTTCGAAGTACATAACGACCAAGAACACATGGAGTTATTAAAGGATAAGAAATTCGATGAAATTAATAAAAATTTAAATGACGATAAGCAGCGTAAAGATAAACTCAACAAATCTTTTGACACGGCTTTAAATTCTAATTTAAAACGAAACGCACATGCTAACTCTAGCAAAAGTATGTCTCAGAATAATAAAGAAAATACTCCAAATTCAAGTGCAATAGAAAACGATGCCAAAGATAAAAATATTAATATTTTAAGTCCATCTAAAAAATATCCAGCCAATAAGACGGCTGGTGACAGTGATTGTAACCAGACGATTGTAAAAGTTGCTACTGTTAAAGACTTGGATACAAATAAAAACAAATGTGATGATAGTGTAGAATATATTCGATTATCACATAATAATGAGATTGCAGTAAACAATCAGCCGAGGGTACGTACACCAATAACGAACGTATCCTATGTTCCCACGGAAAAAATACCATCTTGCAAGCCGGAATACAGACGCAGTATGTCAAATGAAGAGAATATTGCTATCACGACTACTCCTAAGTTTCAAAGAAACAGACTTAACCAGTCGCTTAATTTGGAAGGCCAGAAATTAGACCGACAAATATTACAAATACAAGAAGGCTATCACTCTTTAGGATACATAGATGAAGAGGAATTACCGAATCAAACTGTATATCCAAAGGAACAAGTTCATAAGCCAACCAAAGCTTTGCTAGGAAAGAATATTATGGATAGTCTTCATTTGAAACCATCAAAAAAGGTCGGCCCTAAAGCTAAACATCGATCAGCTGGAAAAGATAAAACAAAAGAACCATTTAAGCTGTTTTCTAATAGGAAAGAAAAGCCAGGCGTAGTTGATAAACTTGCAGGTGGAGTGCTAGACGGTAGCAGGGTACCTTCTCTAGGTCTGCCGAGAACATCAGAACAAAACTCTTGGGTAGTTGTTGGACATCCGCAGAAAGAAATGCTCATACCACACTACAACGAGAGACTCGTACAGACGAATAGCGACATGAATCTAAAAAGTAAGGATGTCCAAAATGGTAACATGGATAAAAACAGATTAACACCACCGCCACAGTTCCAAGACAAACAAAAAATACCGTACGAAAGCAATTCAAAAACCGATAAAGTTTTAACACACGATTCAAAACGTGAGAAATTAAAAGATGACTACACAAGCTTTATGGATGTACAGTTAGACCTAGGTTGCACGTCTACACCGAAAATGCTAGCTCCCCACGAATTTATGAATGACGTACTAAATAGTAACAAAAAGCCGCGCAGAGTAAATTTATTACAGAACTTTAATAGTGGGTAAGTACAAGACTTTCGTTTTCACGTTCACAATTAAATAATATCATTACAATGACTTTTATTTCACAGGTTGGTGTTAAACAATCGAGATGAGATATTGTACAGAGAAAGGAGTATAGATCAGACGAATTTAGAGCGTCTGTGTGACAGAAAACCTGAGCCTGTGCAATACTGGCTGTGCGATTTAGTGGGCTCTTGTGAGAACGAATGCATGACAACACTGCAGAGCAAGCCTTTGGGAGCGGAAATGAAAGCTATGGTTTCATCCAACTCAGCAACTATAACTGGAAATATAAAGAAAGTGCAAACACACGGACAAATTATCGTCCATCAATACAGTGATGTTTTACGGTAAGTAAAAAACAATTAAATGTTTACTATACTTATAGAACTGTATCTAATTCTATTTTATTTTCGCAGACAAATGGAGTCGAAAAACACAAGTGAAGAACAAATATGCTTATTAGTGGCGAATATAAACGAATTTGTGCTAGCACACAGCATCACCTTGAACACAAAACCTCCCGGAGAGACGCCGGAGAGATGGGACAAAATCAAAATGTCCCTACAAATGTACCTCCAGAAGTTAATAGATATCGGAGAAGATGTTAAAGTTGAACTAAATGAGAGCAGACCCGAGTGGAGTTTGGTACAAAAACATTTGGACACATTAATTGATATATTTTTGGAAACCACTAAAGCTGTACTCGTCCAACAAATGAAGGTATGTATTTTATATACAATTAGCTTTCCGCCCGCATCTTCGCCCGCGTTTCCAACTGAACCTTTCAGAAATCTGGGATTAAAACTATCCTATGTTCATTCTCAAGGTCAACTCTATATCTACACCAAATTTCATTAAAATCAGTTCAGTGGTTTAGGCGTGAAAGCGTAACAGACAGACAGACAGAGTTACTTTCGCATTTATAATATTAGTAGGGATCAACAAACACTCTAATATTGACTACCTATATCCCATTTCGTTTCATTTCTATATTCAATCTATACACTGTAATTTTTCGTGATAAGAAATAGTATCGATTAGTTTCGACATGTAACCACGCAATATGAAATTAATTATATCGGTAAGAATCTATGGGAAAAGTTACTTTTTAATTTAAGTTACGTAAAGGTATCGCTGGGGTCATTCTCCTGTTAACGAAGTAAAAGGCACCATAATTTTAAAAACATTTATTTATGAAGATTATTATTTAATTTAGAAATTAAACACTGATGTTGAAAGTGTTATTTGTAATTTGCGCTCTTAAAAGGACGATATTGTATTAACTTAAATACAATCTTTCTTAACCTACTTGCGTAATATGTATGTACTAAAAACAGAATTTATAATACTAAGCAATTACATTAATTTATTCATTTCTATTATGTGTATAACAAATATATGTATATAACAGTTTTTATCATTTATATTCTAGACGCTCGTGTCAATTATCGAAGAACCACCATCAGATATGATATTAAAAAGCACGCTCACATCCATCGGTCATTTGGCAATGTTGACGGAAAACACTGAGAGTTCACTACACGCAAAATGTACGAAAATCATGAAAAGCATCACGGAATTGCCTTTCGTCGACTGCGGAGTACCGAGGGCGTTGTTAACAGCTATTATTGAAAGCAAGAAAAGTTCTATAAAGGCGCTCTCATTACGCGCGCTTGCAACTGTCTGTGTGACAGGTGACGCTGTCAAACAATTCGAAGAGGTATGAATCTAAAGCTATTATGCCTAATAAAGCCGCAATTGAGTACAATTCTTTATAAAACCCGCCATTCAAAATGACTAATTTTCTATTCCTTATAGAGAATGGTATTTTAGTATATTAATTGCTATGGCCAATTGACCTTGCCTGTTAAAGGTGAACCTGACGGCTTATTGTGATTAATAAATAAACTCAACAGTTGTCATCGACATTATTGCGAATTAATATTTATCATTTTAAATTATTTTTTCTTATAATCACATTCATATTATTCTTAAGTTCTGTTTAATATATTTCAATAAAATAAACATATGATTTTAATTATCACTATATACTAAGGATTACTTACGTAGTTATTTCAATTTTTGTTACAGGGAGGTGGTATAGAAATATTATCGGATATACTATCGGATAGTTCCAATCCCGAACCTCAAATGCGTGAAGCTATCACCGTCCTCACTCAGATAACAGCGCCCTGGCTGAGGGGACACTATGATATAACACAACTACATGTATACCTCGACAATATAATAAAGCATATTACTGGTGAGTAAACCCAGTAGCTTATATATGTGTGTGTGTGTGTGTGTGTGTGCGTGCGGGCGTGTGTGTATATATATTTCAGAAAGACATTATACTAACTAAATGTATAAAATCCGAACTTGATAAAATATTACATTATAGAAATAGTGTATTTCTGTCTTAATAAACATATTTCTGTCTTAATGTGACTTAAGTAATAGCAGATTCAATGTCGAAAAATTCATAATCACTAAAATAATCAATAATATTTTAATAACTCAAAGTTATCATATTGGTTTTATATTCTTTTTCAAAGCAATATTAAGTTAAGAAATAGCACACAAAAAGTTGGTAGTTTTAAGTAAATACGATTGTCAGTAATATTTGACAAGCGATAAAATCAATATCCATTATATTGATAAGTTACGATACCTGCCTTATTAGATATGCAGTACGTAATGCATAACATTCTTGGAAAATGTGAAATTGATGTTGATTGAATAATAAAATTGCCGCTGTCTGATAGAGCGACATCTAGTGTGCAGTAGCTGTTTTAACTTACGATATTGTAAATGTTTGTCATTAGACATTTGTATTTTTTAGTAAAATATAATTTATTTGTCGTAGTAAAATCATAAATTCATAAAGGATTGATAGTAAAATGAAACCTTAACATTTCTAAAATTATAAAAAAGTTGAAAACTCGATGGATAATGATTACTGTCTAAATAAATTTAATGATATTAAATGATTACAAGAGGCTTATTTCTGTTACTAATTAATTTGATAATACATACTTACAGATATTCTCTGTCGGACTGAATGCTGTCAGCTTCTACTTCTCTGTACGGCGTGTCTCGTGAACCTCGTGAGGGAGTTAGAACTTGAGAAGAAAGAAGACGCAGATTCTGATATTATAGAAGTGATCAATAAATATCACACGGTTGAGAAATTATTAGACGCTGTCAAACGACGTGGACCAAACATATCTGTATTCCTACAGGTTAGTGCTTTGAGAATTACTTTCGCAATTAATTAAAAATGTTAACCACTAGATTTAATAATAATATGGCCATATAATTGAAATAAAATGGTTAAATTTTCAAAAAAGTTTCACATAGTAAACCTGAAGATAAATTATTGTACAATTATTTCCAATTTTAAACAATGATTTCAAGGACAGAGCACATTTTGTTAATGGACTGGAATGCAATGGCTACATTCGTCCTGGGATTTGGAATATTCTGGCAATATCAATATTTTTATCTGTTGGAAGAATTATTATAGCTGTTATTAAAATAAGATTAATCCTCCAGGAACAAACGGCGTCCCTCTTGGCGTCTTTGTCACGTGTGTCACGATGTATTCTACCATTGTCACGCTCCCCGGTCGCCAGTGTGGCGCTAGTGTGTTTCGCGCGCAGCGGGCCGCTAGCGACGCGCGCTGCTGAATTACGCGCAACTCATCGTTTACATTGTCATACTGCTGAAGCTATATCTAGGTTTGTTTGTATATAATATATTCTTGTGAATTTAGAATCAATTGTAAATAATTGTGTTAATCAACAAAATTATAACAGAAAAAAAATTGGAAATTTTAACTCTATTAAATTTGGCATATTTTTTGTCTATGCTCATTTTTTTGTCTTTGGTAGATTTAATAAAAACATTTTTAATATCGTATAATAATTGTTATTTATTTCCAGGTTAGCAGTAATTCCAGACGTAGCACATCAGATAGTTCAACTTGAAGGCATTCCTCATCTTATCCGGTTGGTTAGGATGCAGAGAACTCGGCCTCATGTAGATGAAAACCCGGATCAGACGCTCATACACACGTTGAAAGCACTACGAACTATATACAAACATTATCCAGAAGCTTTTAATGATGAAAAGGATGTCAAAGAAATGATTAAACCGCACTTAATGGAATCTCTCATGTTATTTTCAGCTAAACAAGAAAGTTATGTTTAAATTTTAAACATCAGCCATTATTAGGAAATTTTATTAAAATTTATTACCGAGGGCTATGAATGTTAGTTTATCTTCAAGCTATTATGCATAGATATGTTCTATATGATAGTTTTGTACTGAAAGGGAAAAGAAACCCAAAGATAATTTATTTGCTCAAAAGGCATAAATAAATGAACTATTATATATGAGAAAGAAATATAAATGCAACGCTAACATTCCTATAAGTAAATATCCAATAAAACTTACCTCTTAGTCTGCTAGATTTAGAAAAAGTGACAAATCTCGAATGAGATTGCAAAACATTCCCCTTACATATGTAAGGACTATAATTATTTGTATACCTAAGTTATTTTCCGAGGCCATACTTATTTTTGCTAGTCTCAGTCTATTTATAATCACTCATATGAGTACTGTTATGAATTGTAATTTAAAGCACTTATCACTTAATATATTAATTTTGGAACCACCTTATATCATGTAGGTACATGTCTTATATTATATGTTTAAAAATAAAGTATGTTACTCATTGAATGTTGTTTTATTATAAAATTTATTTCATTTCATGTTATAAAACAAAACGTCAATAATTCATTAAGCTATTATAAAAATATGTATTTATATAACAATTATTCTATTATTTAACATTTAAATATTGTTACAAATGGTAATATTATCCATATGACTGTTTAACATTTTTTGAATGAACAATGTCGACTGTTGTTTCATGACACTGTCGGAGATCCATATCAAACATTCCAAGACAGAATTTATTTTCTGGTGCCTTAAAGAAATCTAAGCCTCTACCTATTTTTATTATCCAACCGGAACTTAATCTGGAAATATAAAAATAGTTTTTGTTAATTATAATCTCTTGCATATTTTTACCCAACACATAACTTATTATACCGGCATACATATAATTGACATATTGGTTAAATAATTATGTATAAAATGTATGACAAACTTTAAATTACATAGACATTTATTAATCCTAACATTCTGGTAAAATTTAGTAGAAACACATGGACTATAATTTGTGAACTAAGAAAAAATTTGTAATACATAAATATAAACTAACCAATTGCTTTGGGAACACACAGAAATCATTACATATTTATGTGTGTTTCTTTAGAAATAAAAAACTAACTTTAATATCTCCTTAAATAACCAATTAGCAAGATTAATTCAACATTTTAATGTTCTAAAAGCATCTCAATATAAACAATTTTTTCTTTACCTATACCTGTAAATTACTCATGTATATAACTGCCTTAATTTAAAAATAGTCTATCCATAGACAGTACAAATATTTTTTAATCTATGCTTACATTATTTGCCTATCATGTAGAGTATCAGAGTACTTAACAATAAGGTGTACTTTATACTGGCTGAGATCGTTCAATAAATTTGAAAACCACATCCTTTGATTGTTTTCTGATTTGTCATCTTTGGTTGTCGTTAACTGTATTTTTCTTAAATTACAACATTTTCTTACAAGTAATTCACAGAGACGGAGGAAGTTTTGACACTGAAATCACAATTTAAATTAGTTAAAAAACTTGAAAGTAAATTACATTTTAAAAAACTTTATAGTTGTTTTTAGTGACATTTAAAATAAAAATGAAATTCTTATGAAATGCAGCTATAATAATGATATACAGTGTAAACTCCATGTAATGTCACTCGATTTAAGGACAAACTCTCTAAAGCGTCGAAGTCATTTGAATTTGGTCGGTTTAGCTTGTCTACCATACAATGATACCCTCTACATAGCATCACTTCCACTCTCAATAATGACAACAATTAAGTAATAAAAAGTAGCTTTTAAGTTGCTTTTGGCGTTTTGTTATCCTAGCCCGCAATAAACACGACTGTCGGAATCATTCATACCAAACTTTCTAAGAAGCCTCAATATTGCAAGATATGAATAAAATAAGTAAAAAAATACAACAACGTTGCAGCAAAAAATGTCAAACAAATATAACAGACTATACGCAATAGCGTTTGAATAAGATTCTTTTTTATTTACATAAGTACTAACACTAGTCTGAAATAAACTTTGTCTTTTTCTAATTCTGAAGTTTCTTCTCTCTATTTAACGACAACTCTCTATAACGCCATAAAATGCATAGTCCCTTCAGTGTCATTATATAGAGTTTACACTGTATTTCATTAATAGGTATAAAGAAAACTAATACATTTATATAGAATAAATTAAATCAATTTAAAAAGGTGAAAGTCAAAGGCTAACCTGATGAAAACTTCTAATATATGGATCTTCAACTATAACATATTCAACTTCATCATCTAAAAACCTTCCAAATAAAGCTTTGTAACTATGGCCAGTTGAATTATTCTCGATCTGAATCTGTTCGTGGAACTGACCAGTCTCTTTCTGCTTTAAAACCAACTTTTTTATTGTTTCCGCTCTGTTCATATATTCTTCCACTTTTTTCCTCAAATACTTTTTAGTTACATCATTTATATCATCTGGTAAATTGTAAGAAATATGCATAACTTTATATTTTTCTATTGTTTGTATATTTTATTGTAAAAGCAAGAAAAATGCATACCTTTCATTTTATCCACAAGTATTTGTAAGCCCTCCTGGTAACAAACCAATGCTTCCGTATACCTCTTCTTGGTATCTAATTCTACGCCTCGTTTTAAAATGTTTATAGCAGCGTTTTCGATATTCATTTTTGATGTTGTTTAGATCGCTTTTAATTATAACTGTATTTCCTTAATGTCAACTATTGAATAAAACTTAACCCGAAAAGAGAGCGATTATATACTCTTGATAACTATTTACTCATTATTATGGATCGTTAATTAATTGTTACTTTTATTCAGGCTTTAAACAAATATTAACTTCTAGTTTCTACATGACAACGAAATTAAAATCTTAATCAATGACAAGTGTTACAGTTTAAAAACAAAGAAAAAATATGACGTTTTTCTACAGTAAATCCCCGTTTTAACTATTGTAAACGATAGAATATAAAAAAGACTAATCTAATAAAGAGAAACATACTTAAGTCGGTGTTGTACTCAAAAATTTAATGATTTCGAATTGAACCATAATTTTACTTTTTATTATTTCATAATGGCCTCTTTAATTTCGATGACATTAAATTAATACATTTTTGACCATTCATGTATCTGTAGTTGTTCACTAAACCTTAAAATTTGTCAATAAATACTAGACAACAGCATATATATTAATAAAAATTTAAAATTCTCTATTTTAATATTCTTTTAGTTTCCCTACGTAAAAAAGTTATTGTGAAAAGATTCAGAAATCCCAGACGGGTTGCAGTTTGACAAGTGACATAAAGGTTTGTCAAGAAAATAAACAAGTGGTTGTGCCGAAAAGCTAAGAACCATGTGGAAAATAAATAAATCTGGTGTAAAATCTTAATACTATACTTACATATATTAATGTAATATTATTAATATTGAGAAATATATGAGAGTTTATCTTATGAAATCATTACTACACCAAAATATAATATCATGTCTCGACAACTTGGTAGAGTAGTTTCGCAAATTTTGAATAGATATTTTGGAGAGATCGTCGAGAAAGTGGGAAACGATCTGTTCATGTATGGTTCTAAACCCATGGGTATGATAATAAAGAGTACTGGATTACCTCGGACACAGGTATTCAGAAATAAATGTATTTTCATTTAGATTATTTATCATTTAAAATACGCCAATAAAAGCATTTAATGATTATTTAATTTGATTTTCAGGTCATCGAGAGTTTGAGAACACTTCTCAAATTCGATCTAGCTACATTTGAAGCTAAAGATGTGATTGTCGATTATAAATTGCTGCCGGATAATATATTACTACTCATACGATATCCAAGGTAAGAAAGATTTGTAATGTAATATGGATTTAAGTAATCTGATTTAAACCGTCACTAAGTACATTTTTATCTTTTAATACAGCTATTTACTATATAAATATATTTATTTTCCCTAACAAAAATATAGATATCTTTTGCAAATGAAAACCAAGTATGGGAGTGAGGCTGAAATGTTGGTCGAGGAATTATTACAACAGGCATCCTGTACTGCAACGGTGCTAATAGTTAGCGTCATGAACAAATATAAAGATGATAAGGTAATAAAGTTAACTATACAGGGTGACTGGTGAATTACTATCAATATTTAAGGAGAATACTCGGTACATGATTCTCATTCGAATTATGTAAAAAAAATAGGTACTTAATTTTTGACCAAATTTCCATATAAATAAATAAAGTGTGGACACGTTCCAAGTGTAGACGCGTGCGGCGGCGTGCTGATACACCACCACGCCTCCGCACGCGTTTGTGTGTGTGTGTGTATACCTAATCTGTAGGGTGCTCACACGATGCGTAATTAATTACATAACTTTTGGTTAACTTTACTTAGAAGTTTATTAATATTTATGTTATATTAATTTTTATTTTGTCATATATGATCGTCAAATATCACGTCCTCAAATATTGATAGTAATTCACCAGTCACCCTGTATAATTTAAAAATTTCATTGTTAACATTCTGATTATTATCAAATTAATTTATAAATTCATAATATTGCTTTTAATGGAACATCTTTTATCATGAATATTGCAATTAGAATTAATTTCACACCTATTACTACTAATTTAAATAATATACTTTATTTCACTTATGTAATTATCATAAAAAATATATAAAAACATTAACATTATCATATTAAATGTATGTATTGATGATTTTTACAGGAAAAGAATTTAAATATAGTTAAATTGAAAGATACTTTTATCAGTTTGGCAACTGCGGGTTACATTCAGCAAGCTCCAGTAGCAGAAAGTAACAGTGAAATACCTATCTTAGTACCAGTAGCGACGATAGTCCCAGATTTAGATGTTAGAGAATTAATTAATGCTATGAATACCAATCTCAACAATGTTAGTGACAGTAAGTTATTAAAATATTGAGATCTAAGATCTTAGAGAGTTTTATTCATATAAATGAACATATATTTTTCGGATTATACTAAGTGACTTTATTTTCGTTTACTACATAATATATGTTTCGGCTATTTGACACGCAACTGTAGATTTTGTTACGAAAATAAAGTCGCATAGTATAATCCGAAAAATATTACATTCATTTAAATGAATAAAATATTCCTTTTATATTGAATGTTTAAAACTATTATGTGTAGAACCAAAAAAATATTTAATTAAATTTAGCATGCAAATACAACTTTCTTTTTAAATATTTATTGGTTAAGATACAATTCTACTTAGCTAATATATATTTTAATATAATAAATATTAAATAATTTCAGATATCTACTGGAAAGTAAACTATGATAGATTCCATCTTGATTTCCGAGATGAAGTTATGATAAAGGCGGTCACACGGCGTATTGACGATAATGGTCAGTATATACTTATATATTATACAAGCTGCACCCCGCGGTGTTACTCGCGGATTTCCGGGTTGTAAAGTAGCCTATATGTTATTCCTGGACGTCAGCTTCCTGTATACAAAATTTTAACAAAATCGGTTCAGACGTTTGAGCGTGAAGAAGTAACAAACATACACACAGACTCACAAACTTTCGCAATTATAATATTAGTAGATTATTATATAACAAACTTATTACATAAGTTTTTTTGGTTTATATATCAATATCTTGCTGATATCTAGTTATCTACCATTCAACTAATATATAATCGGAATCTCGGAATCGGCTCAAACTATTTTCATGAAATTTAGTATATAGGGGGTTTCGGGGGCGATAAATCGAGCTAGCTAAGAATCTTTTTTAGAAAATGTTATTTTATGAAAAACAAAATGACAAAAAGGAGGCGTTTAAAATATAATTCTTCCGGACATCTATTGGCGAGTAATAATACTATTTTTTGCTAATGGCTTTTACTAATTGCTTTAACAACACAACAGCAGATGGCGTTGTTAAGTAACAGGAAGTCAATGAGTGTTTGTTTTGAGGTTGGACTAAGAAAATAATTGTTGATTTATATTGTTTTGTGTCTTCTTAACGTGTGAAATAAAAAGAAAACAAAATAAATACTAGTAATTCCTAAATACCGAGCAAAGCTTGGTGTCCAGACATTATATATATTTATATCTATACAGCTCTATAGGTAAGGCGGCCAACTTTCCGAAAAATGAATGCGGGACGTAACCTTTCGTGAATGGGGGGGGGGGGGGGGGGGGGGGTTGTTAGGGATTGGGAATGTCATAAAAATCTTCGCACCTGCCCATATTAAATTTAAGTACTCTCTTACGCGACATGAGTTCAGAAGAAAGAAAGAAAACAAGATTAGAACGGGCGCGATACGCTTGTCCCTATTATAGATAATCACTAATCTGTGTTCCTGCACTGTTGAACGTGAGTGCGGCACATGCGGGACGCATACTACGTTTTGCGGGACTATTTTACGAATAATTTCAAAGCGGGATTTCGTCTAGAATTGCGGGACGGTCCCGCAGAATGTGGGACGGTTGGCCGCCTTATCTATAGGTATTACAATAGTAACGAAACTCTTTTGTATATTTTCTATATATTATTTAGTAATTTAGATTCTCAGAATATTACAACTATAGTATTATATTAATGATTTTTCATATATGTATTGTTTATTTCAGCGGGTGAACTATTAAAGTTGATGTTAGAACAGATGTATCTATCATCATCATCATGGGCATCAGATTCATCACCAGTACCTCTCACTGATTTGAAAGATGGATGCCAGAGAATTAGTGATAATATGAAAAACCATGTCGAACAATATTTGAGAGTTATTGGTGAGTAAGTATTGAGTTATTAGTAAAAAGTTACTTTAAAATGGCTAGTATTTATATTAACTTAGTACCAAATCAGTTATTACATATCAAAACTTTTAAACTTTCATCATCATAGATTTTAGAAATAAGAACTTTTGTGTTGATTTGATATCTTTAAGCAATTTTATTAATTAACAACAGAATTGCTTGTAAATTTTTACTAACTAGTAGTAAAAGGTTGAAAGGAAAAAATTGATTCATACCATGATACGAAATTCTAATGAAATATATTTTATAAACAGACATCACTTTGATTATCACATATTTATATAGATTATTTTTCTATAGAGATAATTACTTCTTATGTTTTCAGAGGAGAGTACAGCCTTCATTCGTCGTACAGGCGACGCCGGGGGCGGACAATATAGTGTGAGAATACAACATGCTTTGATACAACTTGTAGAAGCTCTGTGTGATCATACAGTCACTGAAAGACTTGGGGGGAAAGCGGCTAGGATATTTAGGTATGACTTTATATATACATATGTTTATTATATATATATTTTTATATATATACACCCTTCATCATCAGCCTATCAGAGACCACTGCTGAGCATAGCCTCTTCTCACATGGAGAAGGTTTGAGCATTAATCACCACGCTTGCTCAAGACGGGTAGCTGATTTCAAACTATAGGAAATTATAAGTCCAGGTTTCCTCACAATGTTTTCCTTTATCTGTCAGTAATGTCTAAATACTCTTAGAAAGTACATATGAGTAAGAAAAATCACATTGGTACTTCCCAGGATCGAACCCGCGCCCTCATGCATGAGAGGTGGGCCTTTAACCAAAAGGCTGAAGTTTTTTATGTATATAAAACAAATAGTTTGTTGCATTATTTATTGAATGTTTAATATATCATGTATTTGAATATTATTTCCAGATTGATAAGATCCAAAAAGTACATAGAAGAGGATGATATACAAAAGAATGCCATGTTACCTAACAAGGAGTGTAAAGAACTGACTTACAAACTGTTGGAGGAACATTTTATTAGTGTTCAGGTATATATAAACTGTATATAATATACATTAATAAATATAAATATACATTTATTAAATGTATATTATATACATTTAATAAATATTAATTTGTATATATTTTGTTTCAGCCCATGAGAAAAGCAGCTTCAGCGGGCGGTATGGCCAAAGCAATATATTTGTACCACGTCAAGCTACACGACGTGAGTATAATATTCATTAAATTGACATATCTTTGGTTTATTATCTTTTATATTATGAATTTTTACTTTGTTTATATTTTTTATCTTGTTTCGTTGGATATGCTTCTGGTTAGTTTATATATTAATTATATTTACAGGTCGCTCACGTGATTCGTGATATGTGTTATCGTTCTCTCCACAACGTGATGTCTGTGTCGCGTCACACGCGCGTCCTGAACGCTCGTTTGTTGGACAAAAAACGCCGCGTGCGAACGATCGTGCATGGAATGAGGCTTAGAGGGGAACCTCAGCAGAATATTGACGATGTAAGATATATATTTTGTATTTATATATTGAGAGGAGCTTGGACAGTGGAGGTGAACGTATAACGCGCGTTAGATATTGGCCCCTTAAACCTACACCTGGGTCGCAAGTCCCAGTCACTGTTGAAGCTCCTCTCACTATAATAATGGACCCGACACCCGCACGGTGAATACATTGAATGATGAGAGGTTTTGTTTCTAATATATATATGATGACCTAGTGGTTAAAAGGCCCGAATCTCATGCACGAGGGCGCGGGTTCGATCCTGTCAAGTACCAATGTGACTTTACCGAGTCATATGTACTTTCTTAGAGTATTTAGACATCACTGATTAATGCATTCCCAAAGAGGGTTAATGTCAGGCAGGCGACCGGTTTTAAAGACAATTAGCCAAAACTATTCACAACATGTAAGGTGGACCCCGGCTAAAAGCTGGGAAATTGCCAGATAGAAGAAGATATATATATATATATATATATATATATATATATGTATATAATGTCTGTAGGTGTTGGACACCCTGACTCCACCGGAAGTGACGTCATCAGCGGAAGCGGAGCGTCGCCTGAACACACTCGCGGCCTCCGAGCTACATCTAGACAGAGAACTGTTCATACTCACAAGCTACTTCACTTACCAGAGATGATACGAAGATTACTACATTATAATAATAAATGTACTTGTATTAAGATTAAAGTTATTGCCTTGCTATTTGTTAATATAGAAATGAAGATATTTCGTTTGTGTTATTGTTTCATTTTTTCAAGTATATAGTTTTGTTCGACATGTAATAAGTAATTTATACTTTTCCAAAACTTGCATAATTCTCATTGAGTTTTTAATATTAAAGAAACTGTCAAATCTAGTTTTGAGAACGTTTGATAAAAATATAAAAAATGTATTTACTTTTATGAAACATTCAACATTGAGTGTAATTGAAGTCAGTCAAAGAATTTGTGAAAAAAAATGAATTCTTATGTATTTTTTTTATATTACTAGAATACTTTAAGTATAAGAACAACATTTTTGACTTAAAGTTAATAAAAAGTAAGCATTTTAAATATATACTTTATAAACCAGTCACAATTTTAAAATGTAAGTATGTTGAAATGTTTGCTTTTAACCAGAAAACAGTACATTACAAAACCCTTGTTCCATTGTAATTTTGATTTCATTAGACGTTTAGAGTTAAAATGTCCAAAATATATGAATAGTTAATAACTTGACCGACCAGTGAATTAATAAGTTATTGAAGTAATCATTTACAATACCTACTTATAAAAATATTTCATATTGTTCCTATCTTTTAAGTCTTAAATCTTTGATTTATTGAAGAATTTTAGTTATGTACGTTTAGAATTCTTTGTGGAAACATACACTTTTTGACTTTAGAAATATTATTACCTTTTTACAGTACATTCTTATTAATATTTTTTTATAAGCCGATTATATTCTACATACACATACACACGACAATATTGAATGTTTTTTTGGGACTTTAACATGTCATTACTAGCTTTAGCACAGAAACATATATTTTATTATATACATATATAAAGAGAATGTCATAAATAAAACACGTGATACATTCTTAAAATTTTATTTGACCCCATCGAAACTCAACCATCCGAACGACAGACTATTGCGTCCGAATACAAAATAATATCCAGCTATCTACAAATAAATCGGTTTTACACAAGCGGAACTACCCTGGAATCAAAACCGCGCCAAAATTACCAAAAAAAAAAAAAACAGAATCGTCAAATAATCAACATCGTTATATTTTTTTTTAAATATTATTAATTTACATTAACAATTATATAATTATACACGAAGTAAACCTGTTATACAGTGACACCTATTATTTGGAATTTATTACAAATATACACCGTTGTATGATCAGATATTTAATGATAGCTCAGGATTTTATCGAAACTAGTGATGTGACGATCTTTTTCGTCTATATAATACTTTTTAATCGGATCTTTTTGCTAATTCTAAATGTTGAGATCAATTTCTATAGATAGGTGATGGTAAATATAATAAAAAATGAGATTTTTATGAATAAAAACATTTACCATAGTGTTGTAAATCATTAAATCGACATGATAGGAGTAGAACAGCAAATACCTCTATCAATTTACGGATGAATATCTATCGACCCAGCACATCACTAGTCACGATACATCCGAATTAAATTCACAAATATTTTTTGTATTATCCGTTATTTTAAATATTTGTTATTAAATAAAAGTAATCACATACAACGGTCTCAAAATATATTCAAGCTAATCGATAAATCTAGAATTCACTAAAAAGACATCGTTATTTACATTCGTCGATCGCTCCCGTCTTATACTACCATTATTGGGTACATTATAAATTAAATTTTATGATTAAAAGGCCAATATGTATTTAAATTTAACAAAAACTAGAGCACTTATTGTGAACGTAATAAAAGCATCAAATGTCATAAATGTTTCTTTGAATCCCAACAATGGCAGTTGATATAGAATAGGGCGTTGAAATACTTATGTCTTTATATAGATAAAGTTAATAGCTATACTATAGAATTATTAAGATACGGTGATACATAGAACTTATTGTTCAGATATCACCTTAACGATCTACCGTTAAGAGTACATCAGACTATACAATGTATATTAACACCGAAGCACACACAAGCCGATATTTACAAAGGATGATAGCTACAACAGAAAAAAATAAAACATGCGTGTCACGTTGTAAATTTATTTTAATTATAACTAGATATTTTTACACAACTTAACAAAATACAGACATACACAAAAAAAAACTAAACAAATAACCAAAAACTAATGATAATAACATTCACACGGGTATAAGTGTTGCCACACTGAAGATATATGACAATGTTGGCAAGATATTTCGGTACACATGTCGAGTGTGGCAACACTCGCGAATCTAAATAAAAAACCGACCTAGAGTCAATTATTCAGTTTAATACTGCTCGTGAATTTCACTCAACCAAAGTGTTAGGTAGCGTGTAAATAATTTTATTTGTACTATCACAAAAGAATATCGCTTCTTACAACGACAGGATGGATTACAGATGTTTTGTTTTTTTTATAACATTAATAATTTTAATGAGGATATTTATTTATATTCTATGGAAGATAGCGGCTCAGCCGATTTCATTGAAACGTAATAGAAAAATAATTTCATTGCTAAATACTTAAGGCCGATAAAAAATATAAGGGTACATGTATGTATATAATGTAAATTAAAAATATAAGAAGCTCTGTTTTAATATATATTTACAATACGTTTTATAAGGACTCGGTAACGCTAGAGGCATTATGGATAAATGTTACAAAAATAACATTGCCAGCACAAAAAAAAGTCCACAGCGATCATATATAACCTGTGAATATTAAAAAAATTCTAATTGAGCTATATTAAAAACAACGCATTTTCAATACACTACATAACCGATAATTTTAAATTTCGTAAACACTAAAAATGTAGCAGACGACGAAATAAAAAGAATTTTGACTTTAAATAATGTTAAAAGAACGAATATTGCGAGAGACCTATCACAAAATTAATACATATATAGCCCGTTACATTTTACTTATTTCATATTATATACATCGCAAACGAGTGTAATGTACACGCAAGTACTACATAGATTTTGTTTTATTAATAATAATCTTTATTCATATTTGCAACGTCCGATATAAATTCATGTGATGCCAGATATAGTTACTTACATGAATTCGTATCTCACTACATACACAGTTAAATCAAATTTTCCTTCATCCATAAATCTTGGTATATGATAGTATTAAATTTATATGGAAAACTCGAAACTTTGCGTGTGTAGTATGATACGGATAGTAAGAACAAATGTACGGAGAAGCGTTTACGACAATCATATTACGATTTTCCAACGAATACTTAACTATAATTTGATCTAAAAAATATCGGTAGCAGTTATATATTAACGATGTTTTAAATGACGCTTAATAATGTTATTTCTCGCATTCCAATCGCGATGAATAACAAAAACTTGAAACATTTTTAAGATCTCTAAGTTGTGCGTTTCGATTTCGTCGTATAATGTTAGGTGGAATTAAATTTGATAACTCGGTTTTGATACAAGACTTCATTAAAACGAACGGTTATAATAACATATTTTAAATATATCTATATATTAATTCCTTGTAAATACTATGAACGCGTTAATTATAAGTCCAGGGCTGCCAACGTAAGCGAGTCTTAAAAATATTCCAAGTAACACTATAGGTAATGGAATCCCGTCTATAAATCACTGTGAACACATTGACCGACCTTATAGTCACATTACAATATACAGCATGAAGCCGAACAACAACTGCTCGAGCCGCCTTTACTTTTTTGTCGTTGATCTGGAAATTGAAATTAAAACCTCTGTAAAATCATTATTAATATAAAGCACCTACATTAAAATTGCAGGCAATTTTTATTATATATATGTATATTTTTTACAAGGCGTTAGTTATACGATTTTGATGCTACGTCTAATTTAAAATAGATGAAGGGACTTACAGTTTTGAAGGAAGGAGGAGAGGAGTTATAGGATAATGGAAATAAATGTTATCCCCATCGAACTTCTGCAACGTTTAAATTATATACAAAATACAGGAAATAAAACGTTCCCATATTATAAAAAAATATCGAAAATATGAGGATTTTAATTATAAAATTAATATCGTCCAAATATCTATTGAATGTAAATTCTTGATGAATGTTATGTTGTGAATGTATATAGCCTGAATGAAATAATTATAAGATTATTATTAGTAATTTATATTCTTACTAGCTTTCCGCAGCTTCGCCCGCGTGGAGTTCGGTTATATCGCATTTCCAAGAGAATCTTTCAAAATTCTGTGATAAAAACTATCCTATATTCTTTCTCAAGGTCATCTCAATCTCTGTACCAAATTTCATTAAAATCAGTTCAGTGGTTTAGACGTAACAGACAGACGGACAGAGTTCCTTTTCATCTATAATATTAGTAGGGATAGACTGATTAAGAGATTTGTATTCATATTTATTTCTAATAAATGACTGCTATATATATATACGAGTTAGTGATTGTATGAACTGATTGTTTAACCTCGTGTATGTATGTATGTGTATATTATTTTAACTGACCGTGTGAGTTAGGTTCGGGCAGGTGTTCCCGTGGCACGAGATGCATCACCGTGGTCCGTCCTAGAGGAAGCCCCAGGGCTCCGAGGGTCACGCTGCTGTGGAGGAAGCGACCCTGATAGATGAGGCGGAGGATCTCCGCACGGGAGACGCATTCAGAGGACCAGTCCGCTGTGGATTAGAGGATTGGAGGTTTAAATGACTGACAAAAGGTAACAGGTAATTAGGTTTAAAGAAGTTTATTTCCAGAACAAAGTTCGCTTACAAAGAAAATTTTAAAAATTATAACTACAATTAAGATTACAAATAATTAACAGTAGTGATATTAAATAAGATCAGTGAAATCATCTAATATAGGGTTTCTTAATCGTTTTTTAAATATATTTAGAGATTTTCAATTGTACTTGTAATTGTACTTGTGCTTAATGTCACATTTTAAACATTAATTCGAAATCAATTGTATATGGATTTAAATTTTATCTTTAATTGACAGAGGCAGGAGTTATTGCCATCGAAAAATAAAATTATTACATTAAGAATTATCTAATTTTAAGGTTTAATTCGACATCACTTGTAGGTTAATTGTTTCATGTCCATTCGTCTGGCATTGCTATACAAACTTGGTATATATTTTTTTTGTTTTTCAATGCAATTAATTCTAAGAATGCTATTTATGTTACGGATTAAGAGAAGTAAAAATAAAGTTTATTTTTAATGAAAGTACATTAATATTTTACAATTCAAAGTACTCATATGCAATAAAATAATACTGTGTCCTGCGGGCAATGTTTCACTGAAATAACTTTAGAAATAACATTAATTATTATATTACAATAATAACCATTAATCTTTAACTTTGATTGAACAGCAATTCAGTATAGGAGACATTTTTCATTAATAAATTAGATGAATCTTGTCATTTATAGTTAAGGTTTTTTAAAGCATTGATTTTTCATATATCAAAGAAAACCAAATATTATTTAAAGTAATGCTTCACTAATAAGTAGTTGAAATTTTGTGATGAGATACCATAATATCATTTTAATATTTTATTTAAGTCCTTTAGCGAACGCAGATTTTTTTATTATTCGAAGTATAATAGGACGTAGTACTCATTCAATCCATATTTTTACCAATGGTAAGTTTTATCATTTTTTTTTAAACATAAATTTCGTTATTACAATTTAAATATTATTTCACTATAAATGAAAGAAGTAATAAATTAAAATGTATCACAAAAGTGCACATATTTATTTCAAACGAAAAATATATTTTCGATATATCTTCAAAACAAAAGTATGCTTATAGGAAAATAAAAGATTATTATAAAAAACTATAATTTGTAATTAAAAAAATTCAAAAAAAACATTATATCTTACTGCCCCCAGAGAGATTTGAACTCTCGACCCCTAGTTTACAAGACTAGTGCTCTAACCCCTGAGCTATGGAGGCTGACAATTGTACTGTTGAAAATATCAATATTGTACTGTGAGGAGCGTCAACACACACGAATGAACACATCATGAGAAACATTTGTTAATACACACATTCATATCAATACGTAGTTTAATACCCGATCTATAGATGGCGCTCCACATAAATAAATTATATTATTATTATATTAAATATTGTATACAATACAAGATTTTTCATTGTATCGCTTTTTAAATTTCTATAATAAATTTTAGTTTATATCCAAAAACCTTTGTACGTTGGCTTGTAATAGTTTTCATGTAATTTAGTCGGTGTGATAGCCGGCTATCGGTAGATTTGTGGCCGAGGCTAAGCTAATCGCGAACGCCCATCCGGCTGCGGGTAATTCGTATTTGTGATATAAAAATATTCAACCTTTGAAAATAAAACTATTATAAAAGCTATATACCTATTAGTTAGACTTTTACTTTGTATTAAATTTATAAGTAAAGGACTACTAGACGAGTAATTTTGATTCATAGTTATAAATAACTATTTGAGTGTATATTTTCTTTGTTCTAATTTTCATAGTCAAGGTACAACCTCGAGTCTTTATCTAAGTTAAAGTGTAGTTGTATATACCGGCCACACGTTGTTCAGTAAATCAAAGCCACTAGCCACCAGATAGCGTTGCAATCGTTTTGGTCGACGCTTTTTCTAAAATATATTTTAGGAAAATAATTCATATGTGTACTTATGTAATGTTGAATATTGTATGAAATTATAACATATTTTTTGTTTAATATCTCTTCGGTAACGACAAAGAGAAGTAAGAGGAAATTCTGATACATTGTCATATTATGTTGAATTTTTGGATTATATTACCATTATTATAGAACTCCTTTCCAAAAATCCATCCAATTTCTACTTTAAATAGGGATTGGAACAGTTTGCCTACGTCTGTATTTCCTACGAATAATTTGGGCTTCTTCAAGAAAAGGGTGAAGGCTATTACTGAGATAGTGCGTTCAACATTTATGATATCCTACGGTTGGAATGACAGTCAAACAGTATGCAGTGAAATTATATATACATACATACATACATACATACATACATACATGTTCTTCTTCGTTCTTCGTTCGTTTGTTCATGTTGATTTCGGAATAAGTAATATGTATATGTATAGCTGACCGAGTGAATTCTATTCCGCCCTAAAGGCTAAAGGCCATAAATAACCAGATATTGGAATCTATGAAATTTTTCTTTTTCGATCGAATAGAATTAGATATCCTATGTCCGTCCCCAGGTTCTAAGCTAACTGCCATCTCATTTTCAACAATATCTCTACAGCCGCTTTGGACTTATAAAAAGTGTAACTACCGCAATTTTCTTTAATGTATATAGATGTTATATATATAATTATATAAAACGTTGGTGGGACAACATAATACGCTTAAAAAATATATATAAAGCAATTAAAATATAGGCCCTCACATAGAAAAAAAGGAGCATATCACCTAACTGTATACATATATGTATTGTATAGCAAAATGTTTGTAGTATAAATAATATACAGGGTGACTGGTGAATTACTATCAATATTTAAGGAGAATACTAAGGACATGATTCACATTCGAATTATGTAAAAAAAATAGGCACTTAATTTTTGACCAAATTTCCGTATAAATAAATAAAGTGTGGACACGTTCCAAGTGTTCCAAATGTGGACGCGTGCGGCGGCGTGCTGATACAACACCACGCCGCCGCACGCGTGTGTGTGTGTGTGTGTATGTGCACCTAATCTGTAGGGTGTTCACGCGATGCGTAATTAATTACACAACTTTTGGTTAACTTTTTTTAGAAGTTTATTAATATTTATGTAATATTAATTTTTATTTAGTCATATATGATCGTCAAATATCACGTCCTCAAGTATCGATAGTAATTCACCAGTCACCCTGTATAAATATTATACAAATGTGAGTCAGTAACTAACAACGTCCACATCAATTAGTACAGTTTAGACTAATTAGAATAATTTACTAGACCGACGCTCGTCAAACAACACTGATGAGACATGTTTAAATAAAACACGACCGAGTAATGTAAAAACAGAATTATGTTAAATAACTTTACTAGGATAAAACGTAACATTGAGGTCTATACATTTATATATATAAATTAAATTATCTTTAGCTGTTGGTGTAACAATACGTGTGCTTATGTAATGTTAGTTACATAAAATTTTGCATTAATAAATAATTATACCAAATTTTGATAAAATTTAATTAGATTATAAATGAATGTTTCTTTTTTTAATTGTTCTGTGTCTTACGATAATGAATGTTCATGTACTAAGAGTTTAAACTAATATGCTTTCTATTTACTAACATCACAAAGCTTAGTTCTAGAATTAGAATCTAGATCAGATCAATAAAATTCTGGAATATCTCAACTGCAAAGATAATTGATAAAAGTCGTTTCTGTATCAAATATTAAAGTAATTTAAACATACTAGTTTTTCTTTTTGTCTTCTTTTGCTTTTGAGGATGTGCAGCTTCAGGCAAATAAGTCAAAGACGAAATAGTCAATTGTAAATATATTTATTTCGATTGTTATAGGTATATAGGGATAATGAATGGGCTATACCATTTATACCTCTTGAGCACTTGTCTTCTATACCTAATTATGATTTCTTATCATGACTTTGTTGTAGACCACTGTCAGTTTTCTACTGATGCCTATTTAAGTTGTGTCTCTCTAACAAAGTCTGCTCCGCTAAAAGGTCAAGTTAATTAAGTTAATTAATTAACATTAGAAGAAAGTTAGTGTAGTTTATTTAATAAAATGCATTTTTATGACGATGTCAATAGTTCCTTAAATATGTTCCAATAAATCGTATTATAAAAAAACAAAACTTTCCCTTGGTCAAATAAAAATATATATAAATTACTCAATAAAACCGTTCAGGTAAAAAGTGGTTTCAAATTAAAGAACGCTGAGAAAAATCGACAAAAATAACTTGAAGCTTTAGCCGCTGCAATACATTCCGTTTACGACACACTGCAATAAAGTCGAAAACGTCGAATCAGCAAAAAAAGGGAATTTTCTCCAGTATTTTGGAGTTGGTTAGTGTTACATTTGGAAATTGGAATAATTCTATTACTATTGATACTAACAAGCTTAACAGACATTTTTACGTCAGAAAACTGCTTGGTAGTTATATATAAAGTAATTTACATTTTCTTCTCTTTCCATAATTAATCTCTTTTAATATTTGTTTAATGCCTTGAATTTGAGAACATTAATCTTAACATGATCATTTTCTTATGTCCATAAGTTACTCCAACGCGTTAAACAATTTCCTGTGTCCAAGAAACAATCATAAATTGTTGTCGGTTTTTGTCAGATCCTTACACCTTAATTATCATTTCCTAATTAATTTATTCTAGGACGGGTAACAAATGACATAAGTTTCTAAATAAACTAGATAGCTCACTATCTTCTTTCTTATTCTACCTGGTAATTTCAAAGCTTTAGCCAGGGTCTGCCTTACATGTTGTGAATAGTTTTAGCTAATTGTTTTTATGAACGTACACCTGCCTGATACCAACCCTCTTTGCTAATACATTAATCAGTGATGTCTAAATATTCTCAGAAAGTACATATGACTCGGAAAAATCACATAGGTACTTGCAAGGATCGAACCCGCGCCTTCATGTATGAGAGGCGGGCCGTTTAACCACTAGGCCTTA